TCATCGTCATCAGTACACGTTAGCTGAGGGTGAGAAACACACCTCAGCTAATGAGCCACAATACAAGTAAAACATACTAAAAAGTACACTCCAAGGTACACAAATTACATCATAAAAAGGATGATGTTAACTATTATATAGTGCGTTGCGCATGAGCTCAGGATTGGAGAAGGAACCTAAAGGGAAGGGGATAGACAAAGAAACTCACAACACAAACGCCATTAGGGCCGGCTCCTAGCCATATCAGCAAGTGCGTTCAACCAAACGTGTTCATCGTCCGTAGGACCCCAGAAAGGCAGTCAGGATGAACCAACCGACGCCAGTTTCGAAGTGAGGGTTATCATTCCTCTCGACCAAGTCATCGCTTGTGTTCCCCTCCTCCTCTTCCAACCGCACCCCCCGGCGCGCAAACAATGCACGTCGCAGGACTCGGTGTACTGGCATGCGCAACACGTGGCCCAGCCATCGGAGATTGGGGCGTCATATAATGGCGCTGAGCGGTTCACTCGTTCTTCCTGCACCAAATAAGCGACGGCGAACACGCTCATTGTTCACGCGGTGCTCCCACCAAACATGAGCTAAGCTGCGAAGGCAACGATGATCGAATGTGACGAGCCACTTTAGATCTGTCGACCTGATGGACCAGGTTCCACAACCATATAGGAGAGTTGAACGGACAGCTGCGTTATAAACTCTGCCCTTCATGGCGAGTGTAATGCCGCGTCTGCGCCACAGATAGCGGAGTTTGGCAAAAGCACTTCGAGCTTTTGCTTTACGGTTCGAAATCTCAGATTCGATCCCACAGGCCATAATATAGCTGCCCAGGTACTTGAATTCCGGAACGACTTCCAGCTAACCCCCACAAAGTGTCAGCGCAGTTGTGGGTCCTTGCCAATTTCAGAGAAGTACTTTGCAATTTGATGGAGCAAAGCATAGCCCAAAACGACAGACAGCCAGTGCTGATCGGTCCAGTGCTGACTGGCATGTTTGAGAGCTGTCACAGATTAGGGCAATATCGTCCGAATACTCTAAGTCAAGAAGTCGCTCACCAGCAAGTAGCTCCACACCTTCTAGGTCGTGTCCAGCGAATGTTGTTTCCATGACTACGTCAACTGCGAATTTAACTAGGAAGGATGACGGCGGGCAATCTTGTCTCACACCGCTGGTGATACTAAAGGGTGGCGACAGTTTGCCATAAACCTTCACTCTGCCCGAACTATGCGCGTGCAGGGTTTTGATATTGTTTACGTATTTATCAGACACAGCTTTCCTCAGCAGACAGTCCCAAAAGGCACCCCGAGCGACTGAGTCGAAGGCAACTTTTATGTCAAGAAACAGAACTATCCAAGCGTTTTGACAAGCTGGCCATCGGCTGCCCACTCTCGTCGCGTATGGTCTCGCTCACAGCAGGTTTCCTGCTTCCCGTTTCTCGTATCAAACAGAACAACCCGATGGTTACCAACGGCAGCGCCTGTTTCCCTTTCCGTTGCACGATGAGGCCATCAGGCTTCGCGGTCCCTCTTCAGGCTAGCGCGCAGTTTCGTCCTGAGATTTTTGCGAGTCTCATAGTATTCGCTTCCAGCCGAAATACGTCGGCGAGCATCCAGAAGTTCCAGATACTGTATAAAGACCCAATGTCCAGGCTAGCAATTTGATTTGCTACATGAAAACATGCCTGCTGATAGTAGCGTTTGACGAGTATGGAACCAGTGATCTACAACTGTATTCATTGCGCCTACTCAGCTCTGATGCCAGCGTAGTTTGATATGCATTCAGAACACTTGGCTTCGTCAGTTGCCTGGCGTCTATACGCACAAAGCGCCGTTACGAACGTCCAGCGAAACGCACTTGAAGGTTGGCACACACAAGAGCGTGATCGGGGTCCAAGCTCATGCTCCAAATCGAGCGACAGTTTTGGACGCAGCCTCTCCAGCGGTAGCTGATGGTGATGTGCTCGATTTGCGTCCGTGGCTAGTCCAAGATTGGTGGCGCCAAGTCACGCTTCTGCGGGTGCTGTGTCGAAAATTAGTGCTCACATTAATGCCACACATATGTGGCAGACGTTCACCGTTATCATTACGGGAGCCTACGGAATGTTGGACTCCATGATAACGCTAATTAGTAGACAGTTCTCCTACTTATACGTTCAACTTACTAACAGTCACCGGCGTATCCGTGGTGCGTCGCATTTCCTTGAATAAAGAATTTATATATCGGTTATTTATTGTCTTTCACCTTATTAGCGCTAAAATGTGTTTGTGCGCAGGCCGCATTGACAAACGTGCACTGTTTGTCCACACGCGACTTCGATACTTTGAATGAGCTAACTAATCTGACAGCGCACATCCGTAAGTTTATTTTGATTCACTCGCTCTGGATACATTTAGACTGGGGCTAAGACCAGTTTCCACGTCAGCTTGACCGGCATTTGAAGCCGCTTCATCTCTGGACATGCACAAAGAGAAGATACCACCAGCGTCGCACATTGGGGATCGCAGCGTAACCACAGCACTCGAATCTTGCAGGCGCATTTTTGATAATCAGCAAATGTCGATTGATGGGACTCTAGTGTTCGGGCAAGTGCTGCCCATTGGCCAATCTACGACATGAAGGCATGCCAGTCTTGGGGAGGATCGTGGACTCCAAATAGAAGTAGATGAACTGACGTTGTCCCTTTGGCTGGACATGAACTTGCGGACTGGGCCGGAGCGACTCCGTGCGATTACGTGTGAGTCGAAACCAGATGCTAAACGATTACTGAACCAAGGTGAGTGGGCCAAGAATTGGTTTGGGGTTTAAATCAGGGGGATATAAGTGAAGTTGGATGGGGAGAATAAAAAAGCGTACGAGAAAACGGGAAGGCTTGAGCAGTGGCATCCCAACCCCTATCCGCCCTGCTCGAGGCAGCAGATAGGGCGCCATTTATTTTTCCCTGCGACGGCCAGGGCACCAATAAATTGTTTGCATATAATATCATTGTATTGCGTGGGACCTAGATTACACAGAATTTTATATACACTGGCCCCGACCATGCGGCCTTCTAGCTTCCCTTAATGCACTCGATCAGCTCCTCATTCTTTCGAAACCGACTTGTCATCAATCATGAGTTACTGTTTTTCTTTGCTCACATGACTGGGGTTGCGGTTTTGGCTACTCTTGTGTCCGAAGTTTTACCCTACTGCACTGCTCAATATATTTCCTGGTGAACTAGCCTGCTTCAATGCTGTGAATTTCATCCTCCTTATTTTTTTCAACATTCGGTGTAATTTCAACTACAAGCAGCTACCGATCGTCTCCGCCATTCAAGTTTAGGCACAAGCATGATTCGACCCGGCATTAATTGTTTTTTCTACCCACCGATTACGCGCAGTCCAAACATCGAAGTGCAATGGGTCCAGTTGCCGAACCTCGATTCACACTGCTAATAGAGACCACAATGTCAGTAACAGAGATGGAAAAGTAGTTAGGGGTAAAGTACAACTAAATCAAACTCAAGCAGTGATAAGCGTAGAAATCTTTAATTATCTAATGTAGTGGTTGACAGCAGTAAACAGGCAAACCAAACCTTTTTACTGTCACATCAGGTGGTTTTGGCATTGTAATCTACAAGTTGTCTGTTCGAATTTGCGTAGGTGCAAGTGACCTTGCATTGTTCACGTAACTGCGGAGCATCGGTACGAGGCACCAGCTGTTGTTGATACCCTATACTGTAAAACGCTGAGGTGACCAATGCCGTACCGTTTTTTTTTTGCGCGCACGCGCATACACAGTTCCGACGAGTTTTATCATTTCACCTTTTTTAACTACTGGACTGAGCGGCTAGGTCACTGTTTCATCTATTCTAGCGCAGTATTAGTACCATTCACTGATGACTCTACAGCTGATCCAGTGTGGCCTCGGAGGTCTGTAGAATGTCCGCCGGCATATCTTGGCTCTGCTTAACCCTTATATCCTTCACGTACGGGCGATGTGATATGGATGCTGATGATCAACGACGGCTATCCTCTTGTTGCCTTTAAAACTCATTGGTCACTCTTTTACTCTGCAATGTACCACTGGCCGTGATGCTGCGTTATATACCCCGTATTTGCCGATTTCCTATTGTCCGCTCTATGTCATGGATGCCTGGAACCTTGAGAAACGACATGGGCCTTGTCATTACTGGCATGCCTTCCTCGATGGAATGACCATCAGAGGTGATAGGTATGTATAAACTCCGGATACATACCGCTGCCTTATTCAGTATTAGGTGACCAGTAACTACCACGGAAGATTGACCTTTTCGTGACATCTAACACTTTACGGCTTCCCGGGATTGAGTCTATCCAAGCAATGGATACAAGATCTAAGGTTTGTTAATGCTGTGATTCTTAGAATTGTGATGCTGCCTATCGTTAACCACATGTGCCAGCAGCAATACTGAAGACACCGACTGAAGAAGAGCACGTGCTTGAGCCACATGTTTGTCTAGCTACGAAATCTTTGTAACACACACTTTGTGGCTCCACCGATTACCTTAACACCGCGGTTCGAAAGTAGTGACATCAGTATTTCACGGCCATTCTGCTTGCTTGTTAAATGCGACCGAGTACTTTCCCTGAGTATGACTTCCAGTGGTAGTGTTCATTCTCACTTCTAAGCACTACTCGCTGCGAAGCATTCATCTGTTCCGAAACCGCATTCCAGCCAGTGTTTCGGCAACATTCGTTTTTATTTATGATCTTCGATGACTTCTGGTGACAGGCAAGGATGATGAAACGCAGGTCAGACTTTCCTTCGCTTCGTATTTTAGTCGGAAATTCTTGTCAGTTCGCACAACGCGTCGAATCCGTTACAACTTGGCAATTCTCTTTAGCTTCTCCGTATTAACTGTCTCATGCTTATTCCCATATCCTCTTGCACACTCTCCATATCACTCAATGCGACTGCTCATAGCTTTGCGGTAATCCTTCACTAATGCATCGTCCTAATTGTTTCGGTAATCTTCCCGTTCTCTGCAGGTGATTGCATTTCTCTCCGGTCTGTTCCTGGCGAATCAGCGTCGCCTCAGCATTCTGGTCATAATGCCTGTCAGTGTCCTGATGACTTGGGAATCGGAATTGAAACGTTGGGCTCCTTCCCTCCGCGTAGCTTTATTCCATGACGCAGGCAAATCCACTCGCTTGCATCAGCTGTCTTCAATACAGAAGCACGGTGGAATACTATTGACAACCTACGGGATGGTGACTTCCAGCGCCGTGGATTTAAGTACGGATATCAACGCCGAGCCGCAATTCTTACGAGCCGTACCGAAACAATCGGAAAGACGGCAGGGCAGTGAATTTGTTTGGGACTATATGATTTTGGATGAGGCGCACAAAATTAAGAATCCTGCCGCTAAAACCACCAAAGGGGTTCTTAGCATATCTGCACAACATCGCATTCTACTCACCGGGACCGCTGTACAAAATAGTCTACGTGAATTGTGGGCGTTGTACAATTGTACGCACAGCGGCAGGCTTTTGGGACGCCTGATCACGTTTAAAACCGAGTATGAAAGGCCCATAACCCGAGCTCGAGAAAAAGACGCTAGCAGAGCAGAAAGAGCTCATGGTCATCTGATGGCACAAAGTTTGCGCAAGCTCATTGATCCTTATTTTCTCAGACGTACCAAGGATGAAGTTTTACCCTCCATTACAGCACACAGCCTTCCAGATGGTCATATGGATAATGTTCCTACACAGACTGCAGATATTGAGGCGATGCCAAAGAAACACGAACTTGTGATCTGGCTGTATCTAAGGCACATACAAGAACGGAGTTACCGAGACTTTTTGGAATTGGACCAAGTTAAAGCCCTCTTATTGAGACAGGACCGGCGTTCCCCATTGATGGAACTACTCATATTGAAGAAACTCTGTGATCACCCGCGTTTGCTTTCTGTGGAACAGTGTGCATCTTTTAACCTGGAGGCGACGCACTCGTCTGGACAAGCATACTCTAAAGTGCATCTTCCCTCTGCAGCTCAATTGTGCGATGAGTCTGGTAAACTCATGTTCCTCCGATCCTTAATGAGCACTTTTTTGGATGAAAAGCTCTCGAACTCCGAAAATCCACCCCGGACTTTGATTTTCTCCCAAAGTCTTCGCTTTCTGGATATGGCCGAGAAGGTCATTTTAGCGATCAATGACCAACCAGAGCACGTCTCTCGTTCTTTGAAGCATCGGATCCTACGCTTGGATGGTCGACTGGCTAAGGTAGATGAGCGCCTGCAAGTTATACGATTGTTCGAACGGGATACATCATACACCGTCATGCTTCTGACCACACAAGTACGTTTATTCCACCTTGTTTGTGTGCCAACCATGTTTAATGCTCACCATTCTTGCACACTTACGTGTTGTGTTACCAGGTAATGCATACTTTGATTAGGCTCTGAACTATTCCGTACATAATACATGATGATCATTTTCGAATCTCTCAGTGTCTAGACGGCCTGCTTTGTTACTTTTTCCATACCATACATGGAACTTCACATGAACCGTGCTGACTCGCAGTGCTTCTTCTTGCATATTGGATAATAAGAGATCCTAAGGTTGTTGTATAATGCGCTTACATACACTATCTTCTCGTGGGATTTCTGTGTACATACCACCATGTTACGCAACAATTTCTCCATATTTTCTAAATCTTGGAACCAGAATCTTGTACATCGAACGAAACGGCTGGTGGTCAACGGGTTCAGGCAGTCGCCAGTTCTACACTAGGTAAGCGCCGGCTGCTTTAGCAGCATCACTAACCCGCACGCGAATGTTGGTGGTCACGTGGCAGCGAAGAGTCGACGTGACGTACCGGTACACTATCAATACATTTTTTAGTACTAATGAGTAGTGAGGATTTTTGGTATAATGCAGCTAATTCATCATCGTCCACTCCCAATCAGCAGGATTAGGGTAATCTGGAAAAGCACCAGACGCCGGCGTTTCGACCTTTTGGGTCTCGTCAGTTGTGCGCCTCCCAGCGGAACCCGGCAGGGTTCCGCCGGAAAGTCCTAGCTCGTGTGGCTAACCATTGTCCTCTGCACAGTTCGTAACTGGCATGGCAGTGGAAGATGAGCCGGGCTATACCATAGTCAACTGCCAATCACGCAGGTCTACGGCTGTCACCCATGGCGAAGTGGCACTAGCTGCTGGCATCCTGAAGTCATGGGGGCGGAATCCGGCAGAGACGAGACCCAAAAGGTCGAAACGCCGGCGTCTGGTGCTTTTCCAGATTAGCCTAATCCTGCTGATTGGGAGTGGGCAATGATGAATTAGCTGCACAATACACTTTTTGTTCCGCATGCAAATAATCAGCAACTTACAAGATATTCGGGCTTGATGTGGAGTTTCGAAGTTACCCGTAAGCTCTGGTATGAGTCGTAGTATATAGCATAGTTTCATATCCTTACCATGCAAACTGAATGCAACTAACCCGTGATTGTCGCATCCATTTTGCAGGCGGCCACCTCTCTCTTCATTCACCAAGCGACTTCCCGTTCAGTGTCATTGATTAGCCTTTGTCGTTGACGGTGATCAACGCCTCCCACCCCCACTAAACGCGGTCTTACTTGGCACTCCAACAGGCCATACCTCTTCTACTTTCGCGTTGCACTGTTGCACATTTTGTAGATTCACAACACTTACTGTTCACCTCTCCATAGATGCGGGCCAGGTTTTTGAACCAAAGGCTTTGGTTGAATTAATATGAATCGATATCAGAAATCATTTCAGGGTAAAGAATTCTTTTCGGTAAATCTCATCAAACCCAAACTTTTACATAACAGTGATTGTGGAGATAGCGTCAACTGGGGCTGGGATTGACTTCTTGACTGTTTGAATAACCAAAATCGATAACTTGAGACAGAGATAGAGATGGTAGACCAAGTAAACTAAATAAACGTGTACACAAGGCTCATTAGTACAAGGTAATTAAGTAGGTAAGATGACAGCCAAATAACTAAGTAACGGTGTCCGTTGGCCAAGGTAGTAATATCGGCCGTATAAATCGTTTTTGGACACATAATTCCGGCTTTAGATGGTGAATGTATATAGCCTCGGCGATGGATAACAGCTGTTTGCGGAATCCTTGAGAGAAGTGTTCAGGTAATGAGTAAATGACTTTGAAGTCATTCTCTGAAGCTGTATGGCCACATTCAAGGAGGTGCGACATGATAGAGCTATGTGAAGACCTCATTTCGCCTCTGTAAAACCATGCCGGGATGTGTTCACGAACCCTCTGAGATAGGCGTCTCGTCGTGCGACCCACGTATCGTGCACCACAGGAGCACGAGTACTGATAAATGATCATTAAACGGGTCAACGGCGGTAGTCTATCCTTCAAGGGTTTTGTAAGCAACGGCTTATTGTGAAAAACGATTCTCAGGCGGGCCGCAAAATAAGTTTTCTCGACAGCATCTTTCAGGCGTCTAGATAACATATCAGCTGCAGAATCGCCCTTAAAAGGTATATGTATGAGAAGCTCTTTCTTAGGAGCAATGCTCCTAGGTGGCTTTCGATTACGTTTCTTCAAATGTTTCATGATAAATTTATCCGGATAGCCATTTTCCCTGAGGGCGTCGCTGATTCTCTGTAGTTCTTCGTTGACGGTATCCGGTGTACAAATACTGCGCGCCCTGAAGGCGAGAGATCTGATTAAACTCCGCTTGTGCTGTAGTGGTATTACGCTGTGGAAGTTAGTGTACTGCCCAGTCCATGTGTGCTTTCTGTGTACCTTTCTGCTGCATGATCCATCTGAGTTACGGATAACTTCTACATCCAAGAAAGGTAACCGGTTTCCGAGTTCGTGTTCACAAGTGAAATGGAGATTCTTGTGTGCGTCATTGAAAGCTTTCAGCAACTGTTCCGCATGCTTTTCGGATTTGCAAAGTACAAAGGTGTCATCCACATACCGTACGTACATTTCGGTTTCACGGATGTGCGTTGCAAGTGGGCCATGTTCCAATTTCGCCATGAATATATCAGCCAGCAGCGGCCCCACAGGAGATCCCATGGCTACTCCGTCAATCTGACGGTACATTTCACCATTGAAAGTGAACTGAACATTTAACCTGAAACGAAGTAACACCTCCTTTAGCAAAGTCTCCGGAAAAGTTGTGTATATGGGCAGTTGCCGAGCAAGCTCGCATACATAATCCACGGTTTCGAGCAATGGAATGTTTGTGAACAACGACTGGGCATCGAATGATATCATCCTTTTGTTAACAAGGTTGCTTTCAGATATCCTCTCAATGAATTCGAACGTGTCTCTCACGCAGTAAGTACAAACCAAATTCCGTAACGGCTGCAGCTTCGCCACCATCCACTGGGCCAACAAATGCTGAGGAGAACCCACCATGTCCAAGATTGGGCGCATTGGGGCGCCTTCCTTGTGAACTTTAGGTAGGCCATATAATCTCGGTAGGTGTCCACCTGAAGGCTTCATCTTTTCGAATTCCTTCTTCGTGATGAGTTTGGCTTGCATCATTCGCCTGAGGCAGCCGGTTAGCTGTTTCTCTGCGCAGTGGCAGCGCAGCGTTAGTTAGTTAGTTAAATTGAATAGCAAAGTGCTTTGACAAGCTGTGGATCGGCTGCCCACTCTCGTCGCGTATGGTCTCGCTCACACCAGGTTTTCTGCTTCCCGTTTCTCGTATCAAACGGAACAACTTCCGATGGTTACCAACGGCAGCGCCTGTTTCCCTTTCTGTTGCACGATAAGACCATCAGGTTTCGCGGTCTCTCTTCAGGCTAGCACGCAGTTTCGTCCATAGGTTTTTTGAAGTCTCATAGTATTCGCTTCCAGCCGAAATACGTCGGCGAGCATCCAGAAGTTCCAGATACTGTATAGAGATCTAATGTCCATGCTGGCAATTTGATTTGCTACATGAAGACATGATTGCTGATAGTAGTTTTTGACGAGTATGGAACCAGTGATCTACAACTGTGTTCATTGAACGCTTACTCATTTCTAATGCCAGCGTACTTTGATACGCATTCAGAACACCTGGCTTCGCCAGTTGCCTGGCGTCTATACGCCCAAAGCGCCGTTACGAACGTCCACACGAAGGTCGGCACATACAAGAGCGTGATCGGAGTCCACGCTCGTGCTCCAAATCGAGCGACAGTTTTGGACACAGCCTCTCCAGCGGTAACTGATGGTGTTGTGATCGATTTGCGTCCATGGCTAGTCCAAGACTAGTGGCGACAAGTCACGCTTCTGCAGGTGCTGTGTCGAAAATTAGTGATCATGAGAAACAGATAAACAGCTTCACACATATGTGGCAGACGTTCACCGTTATCATTACGGGAGCCTACACCAAGTTGGCCGCCCAGATGAAGCTCATCAGAGGACAATTTTCCGACTTGGGTGTTTAGATCGCCAGCCAACACCACAGTATCCGTGCTTCTTCTGTAACGTAGGGGATTGTGAAGTTGCTGATAGAAATCATTATTCACCGAATCGTTGCTACAGTTTGTAGGGACGTAGGCCGCAATGACAAACAGGCACCGTTTGTTCCCGCGCGACTTCGTAGCATGGAACGAACCAGCTAATCTAATGGCGCACGTCGGACTGTTTACTGGGATCCAATCAATAAGGGCAGCCTCTGTCCGGAGACTCAAAACAATGCCAACGTCAGCTTGACCCGCATTTGAAGCTGCATCATCGCCAGACAGGCGCAATGAGAATGTGCCGCCAGTGTCGCATGTGAGTGATCGCGGGGTAAACATGGAGCTCGAATCTTACAGGCGATTTTCCGATGCACAGCAAATATCGATCGATAGGGTCGAATGCTGCCTGTGGGCCAAACCGTAGCGAAGTGTGGATGTTACGGTATGCCTGTTTTAGCGAGCATCTACAGTTCTAAATTGAAACGGCTGAGCTGTCGTTGTCCGCTTGGTTAAACATGGACTTGTCGACTGGACTAGAGCGACGCCCTGCGATTGTGTGTGAGTTGAAAATAGAAGGCAAGCGACTACTGAAGCAAAATGGGGGAGGGCCAGTAATTCCGGGATTGAAAACAGGGGAAAAAGTGAAGCGGGAGCGGGACGGGTGAAACAGTGCAAGAGGGGGGAACAAGAAGAGGAGAAGGCCAGAACAACAGCGTTCACCCTGCTGGATGCAGCAGATAGGGCGCCGTTGATTATCCACTGCGACGGCTAGAGCATCAAGAGATTGTCAAATTAATAATCATGTTGTATTGCAAGGGCAGGATACGGTTAGGTTGCCCAAGTCTAGATAGGAGAAGGATTAGGGAAATCAACCAAATACTCATTTAAGAGTTTCAATGAATCAC